CACAGATTTAACATACAAATAACTGACATTTCTGAACTGAAATCATAAATCTAACTGAAAATTTTTTCCTTGGTTGGAAAAAGGTTTTATTCAAATTCAAACAATTCACTATTTCTAAGAAAAATGTTGGGAAAAAACCTACACCCAAAAGTAGCCTAGTTGAAAAATGTTGGGAAAAAACCACACCCAAAAGTAGCCTACCTTAAAGAATGATGCAGGAAAAAATAAAAAATAAAAAATATATATATATATATACATATATATATGCACACCATATTATAAAGGAACAAAAAATCAAGAGATAGCCTTATCTATCTCTTGTTTAGCAAAAAATCTTCAGGAGATGATCCAGTAAAGATCTAAACTTCTATGGAATACTTACTTACAATTTTGTATCCTAGACCCATAGCAGAGTTAGAAATCCTGAAAACATTAAGCAGAAGTTTTAATTTAAAAAAAAAAAAAAGAAAATCCAGGGCCCTCCCTAGTGGCACAGTGGATTAATACACAGCACTAAGAAGTTAAAGCCACTTCAGCATGAGTTCAATCCCGCCCTGCCCCAGAGGTGACCCACATGGCCCAGCAGATCTCTCCTGACACACCCGCTGCTCCCCTCAGCAGTATACTTCATCCATCAGCCCGTTCTGCTCCCCACTCTGTCTCTGGTGAATCCTCTCACTGCCCCTGCACCTCTGGCCTGTACCCCAGCTCTGGATGCATAAATAGATAAATCTTTAAAAAAGAAAAATCCAAACATTTAAATAAATCTATCCTCCATCTACTTCCTTAGTGTACTTTTCTTCAACTCAACTTTCAAGTCTCCTCACTTGAAAGTCTGGATTCTTTGCCCATTCAAACAAAAGTTTACATAATAGCCAATCTTTCTGATATCAATGTCATTACTTTCTTAAGATTATAACATTTTTATATAAAGACTTCCCTGCCTACACACAGGAAAAAAAGTTCCAACACTAGTGAGGTTTGAGCTGATCCACCAGCTCAAATCTCCTGTTGCTTTCAACAGTTGGATTTGTAAAACTGACTGTTGTCAGCACATATACTAATTAGGTCAGAATCAGGAACTAAAGTTTTATGTTGGCCAAAGATACTCATCAAACAAGAAAGTACAAAAAGGTCAACATTCAGAAGCTAAATCTCAATGCTAGTCTGACTACAGATGATACAATAATGTGTTTTTGAAATATAACAACAGGTTGGGCTGTGAGGGGGGAACTCATAGAACATTGTGTATGCGTGTGTGTGTGTGTATTTAAGCATTTGATTTTTTTATTTGTTTTTTATATAGCTTTTTAAAGATTTCTTTTATTTATATATACAGAACCTGGGGTACGGGCCAGACGTCTAGGGGTAGTGAGAGCATATACCAGAGAGAGAGAGTATAGAGCAGAACAGGCAGATCAACATAGTACACTGCTGAGAGGAGCAGCAGGCAGGCCAGGAGAGGTCTGCAGCACCAGGTGGATCACCTCCGTGGCTGAGGATTGAACTAGTATTGAAGCAGCTGCAGCTAGCTTGCAGTGCTGTGCTCTAACCAGTTGCACCACCAGGGAGGGCCCCATAGAACATATTTTCAGTAGAAAAAACATTTCCTTTAAATTTTCTTTTTGCAAAGTCTTCATTAAAGACTAATATGCCATCTTATTTCCATTCCTTCACCCAGCACCTACACTATCCTAACACTTTGCTTTGTCTATTCTCACAAGGAGTGTCAAAATTTTCCTGGAAAATATGAGAAAACTCAAATAAAGGAAGTTTGGAAGACTTGATATCCATTCTCAAAAAAATGAATTTTGAAACTTAAGATACCAAGTCGAAAAGCACACCAAAAATATGGAAGAGCTCCTGGAAAGAAAATACCTGAAAAGTGTGCTAAATTAAAACAAACAAACAAACAAACAAAAAACAGCCATGGGTAGCTAGGTAAGCTTTAAGCTTTGGGTAGATAAGGCCCAATGGTTCCCAACTTCTGGAGAAGTTATTCTCAGTGGGAGAGTGTGGAAGTGAGCTACCTTACCTTCATCTTTCCATTCAAGTTTCATATTTCCATGACTGACCTCTTGTTAGCTTTATATATTATTGTATCACATATATTTTCTATAAGCTATCATACTTTTAAAACAAAATAGGTTATAAATTTTATACATCAACAAAAGCAAAATAGAAAACCAAACAGTAAGATCGGGGGGAAACACATTAAGTCCCTAAAGTCATTGTAGGAGAACTTTAAGAGACCTTTATTGTTGGTTTTTGAAGTATGACTGTTTTGCATCCGTGTTAATATTTTGGCAGTATAGGATTTCTCTGCTCAGTGTAGAAAACCTTTCTTTTTTTTTTTTTTTTTAGATTTATTTATTTGTGCATACAGAACTGGGGTACAGGCCAGAGGCTCAGGGGCGGCGAGAGGCCTCACCAGAGACAGAGTGGGGAACAGAACAGGCAGATCGATGAAGTACACTGCTGAGGGGAGCAGCGGGTGGGTCGGGAGAGGTCTGCCACACCATGTGGTTACCTCCGGGGCAGGTGGGAATCGAACTCATGCAGAAGCGGCTTTAGATTCTCAGTGCTGTGCTTTAACCCGCTGCGCCACTGGGAGGGCCCAGAAAACCTTTCTTAACGTATAATACATGGGTTTTGCTCTCAAGAGATTATAATAAAATTTCTAAGATTCCTATGGAAAAATTAGAGATAAAAGAATGTTAGTGATGAATTATGCAACCACAGTTTAAAGAACTAAAATGGATTAAAATAACTTTAAGAGCATTTATTGAGCTCTTACTATGCATTAACAAATCTACAAATTATAGAATCCTGACAGCAATTCTATGAAGTAATGATAATTTTCTCAACTTTACAAATTAGAAAAATGGAACACAGAAGTTAAGTAATTTGTCAAAGATAACAGTTGTTCTGTGTTATCAGTTTGAACTAAGGCAGTTCAGAACCAGTCTATGCTCTAAGAGACCTGGATTTCAGATAACCATTAAGTTATAAAAGGATTTGAAAGACAGAAATACAAAAGGATCAGGATGAGAGATGAAAACAGTAAACCTAGAAACATGTTGAAATGAAACAAAGCAGACAGGTAAAGAGTCCACCAGAGCATATATTCTGAAAAATACAGGAAAATTTGGGGAGTGGGAAAAATAAGAGCACACAGTTTACATTAATAGCCTTGTAATTCTAAAGAATAACAATGGTGGCACAACAATAGGCTGAAATATTGTAATTCTTGAACTCAGAAGAGACAATGAAAGTTTTCTCCTAAAACTATTACTTGTCTATAAAATGATAGAAAGCTAACTTCAATGCTATATTTATATACTAATAAGTACTGTTTCTAGGTCCTGAAAAACTATCAGATGAAGCACTTCAATGCGTAGGATACATTAGAGACACCTCTGGTTCACACAGGCAATCCCTCCCTAATCCAGATGCTTCTATGTAGGGTTTTTGCTTCATTCCACCACTTTCCAAATGTTTTATACCCAGCCTGCTTAACCAGTGAATACACCTGTTTTCAGCAGAGAACTGCTAAGTAATCTATACGGAATATAGCCTTATTGTTAGGGTTCTGATCATGTTCATGATTCAAACACAGCCTCTCAGGTCTCAAACATTATCTCCTCAAAGATATTATTCAAAGATATTATCAATCAAATCAGTCTTAAACATTTACTTATTAAGTAGACTGCCCTACTTAACTTTTCAAAAATATGGAAACAAACATTATGCCCAATCTGTTCCATCATGTAGCAAAATCTCAGCTAAATATGCCCTAAATAAAAAGGGGAATGTGGAGAGGAAATAACCCTGAAACATTTCTATTCAAAGAATCTTATACATTTTACCTCCAAATTAGCCCAGTTTAGAACTCGTGAAAACTATTTCAACTAGTTTCTTCGATTTAAGTATTAATAAGAACAATATTTAAACATGTAATTGGCCAAGACCTTAACTTGAATTCCTCAATATTCAACACATTTTTGGGTGGAGGATTTCATCTCACAAATGTTTCCTTTTATTCATATTTGACTCATCAAAAACATAAAAGATTTCACTTGGGGCCTCTAACTAGTTGAATTCTACACAAGGCCTATGTTTTCAAGTCCTGAAAAGTATAAATTTAGGCTTTTGCCACTAAAGAGGAGAGGCCACAAACTAATATTTTAGATGTTATAAACATATTCATACAAATAAAGTCAGCCTGTGGCAAAGATTTCCTGAACTCATAATTGAACAAGCTAAATAGTAAAAATCATAAAAATCCTCGAAATAAGGCAAAAAAAAACCCTCTGGGCCTCAATCAATACTGTGTCAAGCAAAAGTATATAATTCCTTAATTTATCCTCAAGTGGGTCTGTTAGCTAAGATTTTGTGTTATTAATTGCATGTAGCTATACCTTTTGCCATTTTTGAGAGATGTTAACTTTTACCTTCATAAACAGTGTTTCTACAAAGTTGTTAACTATTCCTGCACGCCACCCACCTCCCATTCAGGATTCAGATGCTATGTGCTAACAGGTTTTCTCACAGAAAAAAAAGGTGTTGGCTATAAACATTAAGCTACTTCTGATAATAAATGTGAACCCTTTCTAAGTGGGACTTGGTCACAAGTCATTTAATATCCTTTGTTTCAAAGTGACACGGACAAAGACTTGCTATCCGTGTGCAGGCCTTAAACACGTGGCAGATATATTCCACGTGGAGGGCTCAGCAGTGGCCCAGAAGGGCCGGTCACAGGGAGAAGACACTGCCCAGGCCCCCTTCCCGCCCGTCCCAGAGCAGCCGCTCCAGCGTGACTGCCAGGACACGGCCCTGATTTTCACTGGCAGGAGCTCCGCTTCCCAGCCTTTTGTTCAGGACTGGGCTCTTTCCCGCCTCCCCTCACCGCCCTTCCTCCCAATCCCAGGAGTGGGGTGAAGACCGTGCGGGAAGCAGAGGGGGAGGAGGCGACCAGCAAAAGCTGTGGGAATACTCACCCCACTCCGCTCAGCCCCTGACCCCGCCGCCCAGCCCTCTGGGGGCGGAGCGACGGGGTGGGGGAGGGAGCAGGGAAAGGTACCCAACGTTTCGCGAGCTACCGCCCGCCAGTGGCCCCAGAGTGGAATGAGATGAGTCCCCGCGACCTCGGCGGTCCGAGGCTGAGGGAGGCGGCGCCGCGGAGGTGGTGCGGACTCTCTGGGAGCCTCCAGTTGGAGGGGCGACGGCCCCGCCCTCAGCCGCCCCGCCGCCAGCCATCTAATAGGAGCATGCGCACTGGCCTGCGCTCCCCGGCGCCGGGCGCGCGCCGTCGGCTTACGTCATGGGCCGCGCGCACCCAGGATGAAGAGGCGGGGCGTCACTTCCCTGAGACACGCGGGAACCCCGCCGAGACCTGGCTCCTCACCTCACTGGCCCCAGCAACCCTAAGGCGGCTTTGCTATGTGAGCCTCACTCGTAGGCGGCCCCTTGAATGGGGCGCGGGAAGCAAGCTGACACCCGAATAAGGGTTTGCAGGCTTCTGAGGTACCTTCTTACTCTCCAACAAAGACCCAAGTGTGGAAAATAAAAGGTCATCTGTGGTAAAAGAGTCGAGCACGAACAGGTATCAACTAGCTAACGCCACTAGCCTCTCTCTGAAAAGATGGAGAACCTTAGTCACACACACACACCTAGAAGTAAGCCAGGACTACCCACTTTAAAACTTAAGGACCGAAGGAAAAGTTAGGAAATCGAGATTTGGGAATAGTTCGATCTGGGACACGTATCAGAAAGAAAAAAAATGACAGTAGAACTAATCTGGGGGGAAACGATGGGATAAAGACTGCAGAAAGATGTACAGGTAACAGGGGCGATTGAACACTGCAAATGCAACTACAGACATCTGAGGGAGAAATCGTATCTGCTCATTTTAACACAACAGAATTAAATTTGTGTGAAAAGGCGAAAACACAGGCAAAGAGTGGAAAGGAAAACCTGCCTCCAAATGGACAGGAGAGTTTTGATTTTGTGAGTTTTCTTTGGGGAAAGCTAGGTAATGTACTATTGATATTTTTTGCAACTTCTGAGTCTATAATTCTTGCAAAACAAAGAATTTAAGAAGGGGCAGAATAGTGCTTAGTGGTGACTAGGGGAAAGGGTTGGCAAAAGGGGCTTGAAGAAATTCGGGCTTGATAAATGGAACTATTTGATACCTAAATTGTGGTGGGGATTATATCACTTTTGTTTGTCAAAACCTATAAAAAGATAGGTTTTAGTGCATGTAAAACAGTTTCAAACTAAATTTTAATTAAAAACCTGCCAGTAAAGAGGAATTCCACTAACATGTTTGAGCAACTCTGGATATAAGTTAATTGGATAGGTGCCAATTAAAGTTGTTTTGCATTGTATTCAATGCAATCACATTAAACTTAATTGTATTCAAATTTAGAAACATTTAGAGTACATTTAATACCAATTTTTATAAGTTAGTTTTTGCACTTTAGATATTTGTAAGTTTCATAATTCACTGCCAAAGTCACTCATGAGGAAGAATGGCCATGACCCTATTATGTACTGATCCTAGTACTCTACAAAATGCTTTAGGGCAGGTTAGTCACCATTGCAACCCCAGCTGTGTTCCTTAATACCAATAAGTATTTGTTGAATAAAAGGAAAGAAAGGAAGGAAACTAAAATTTATTTAATTGACCATAAACCAGAACTTGGTGCATAATTTCATGATAACCACAGGAGATAGCCATTTTGTGCATATGAGAACAGAGTACTGGTAATTATCAGTTAATCATTCAGTTCATTCCTTATTTATTGGTATTTCTCTGTCTCATTTAGACATGTGCATCACCTCGAAAAAATGTTCTTTTAGCTTCCATAAAACCAAAATCCCTTCATTCTCTGACTTATCTGACTGGTCTTTTCTCAACCTCACAGACATCTGTCTGTCCAGTACATCATAAAAGTCCACGTTTCTGAGAGTGTGTCATAGAAGTTAGGCTTCAGTTAATTTTTCTTTCTTTTTTTTTTTGAGATTGTGTAAAATGGAAAAAAAATAATCCAATGTCTAATGTAGTGCTAGATAAACACATTACATTCAATGTTTCCTTTATCCAATGAACACTTTTATTACCAAAGATACAATGCATTATAACTGTCTTATACAGATAATAACACGACTTATTTTATATTAATTCACAATATTCTTTAGAGCATATGTAACATAAGTGTCTAGTTATGTGACACAAGTTTAAAGTTATGTGGTAAAAGTATTCTAAATCTTGTCAGTTCATATTGCTTGTTCATATTCTTTTTGCTCCCAAGGTATATAGGAAAATGCATCCATCAAACCACTTATTGCTACCTTTACTACACCTGCAATACACATTTTTTGGTTTTTTGAATTTTTATAATCAACCCTATTGAGGTACAATTATTTATTCCCTTGTTTTTCAAATTGTCATTTTTGACAGTATTGAAAAATGTATATACTTGTGTAACCATAACCACAAGCAAAATAAAAAAATTTCCATTTTTCCAAAAAGTTACTTCATACTCCTTTGCCATTCATCATATTCTCTGTACTCAGACACTTTGGAGCCACTTGTTTACTCTAGATTAGTATAGATTATTAGGTTTTCCAATTCTAGGAAATTTTATCATATCAAAAACATGTGCCTGGTTTATTTTACTCAGAGTAATTTTTAGAGATTCCTTAAATGATCAGAAGTTAGTTCCTTTTTATTGCTAAGTAGTATTCCACTGCATGAATATACCATCACTTATTTACCCATTTACCTGTGATGGAAACTTAGGTTGTTTTCAATTTTTAACTATTATAAATAAAACTGGTTTAAATAATCATGTGCACATATTTTTATGGTAATATATTGTGTCATTTCTCTTGGGTAAATACCTTGGCATAAATATATGCTTTGTTATTAATATGGATGTTCAAATTATATTTTACCACTATAATTAGCTCAGAGTTTATCTTATATAATGATTATAATTTAGAGAAATTTCTGTTGCTGAACTTATTATTTTTATGGAATTAAGAATTTTTAAATTTGACTTTTAGTGGTAGGCATATGTGTTTACAGTGTGCAGAATTAGAGACTACGGAAAGACACTGAGCATTAAAATATTTGTGTGGAAATAGTAATGGAGGATTGTCATTTTAAAATTGTCATTTAAAAAGATTTATTTATTTATGCATACAGAAGTGGGGTACAGGCCAGAGAAGATTTACCAGAGACAGAATGGGGAGCAGAACAGGCAGATTGAGATACTACACTGGTGAGGAGAGCAGTGGGGGAGACAGGAGAGGTCTACTGTGCCATATGGGTCACTTCCCTGGTTGGGAATCGAACTCATGCAGAAGCAACTGCGCCTCCCTTTGTAGTGCTGTGCTTTAACCAGTTGCACTACCAGGAAAGGCCCTGGATTGTCTTTTTTTCTTTTTTTTTTAAAGGTTTACTTATTTATGCATAGAGTACTGGGGTACAGGCCAGAGGTACAGGAGCAGCGGGAGGATTCACCGGAGACAGAGTGGGGAGCAGAACAGGCAGATCGACGAAGTACACTACTGAGGGGAGCAGCTGGTGGGTCAGGAGAGGTCTGCCTCCCCGTGTGGATCACTGCCGTGGCGGGCAGGGTTCAAACTCATGTTGAAGTGGCTTTAGCATCTTAATGCTGTGGTTTAACCCGCTGTGCCACCAGGGAGGGCCGTCATTTTTAATGACTATATATCTGTAATCATCTGTTTACTTAGAAAATGTTTTAGAATTTTTTTATTTTTGTGATGACTTCTAAAAATTAGTTGTAAAAATCTTGACAGCATGGGATAAATTTAATTGTAGAATCACAGCTACAGATAGGTGTTATAGCTAACAATGTATAGTAGTGGCTACATAGCTGTGGGATTATATACATATATTAAAGATCTAATTCTTGAGAGTCTAGTTTTTACTATGAAAGTTATAAGGAAAATAATACAATTTGAATTGTTTGAATAAAGATTGAAATATTTTGTGAATTTTCAGATTTACTAATATTTTTGGCTAGACATTTGTATTGTTCAATTATTTGATGACATTTGGGAACTATAACTTATGTTTTAAATTTGTCAGGGGAACTCAATGTTCTAAAAGGATCACTCTGGCAATGATTTGATATTACCCAGGATGTTTGTTTTTTTCACTGGGATTCATTGGGAGAGTCTTGTGTTCTTTTGCTGGAAGTAGGGAATAATATGGAAAAAGCTATGCATGTCTACAGCTTATCCTCTCGGTTATCAGTTCCTTGTCTTGTTCCTTGTCTTTGAAGCTATTTTGCAGTTTTGTAAGTTATAGGTAATTAATATATATGTAAATTTTGTCTTCTCTAGCAATGTCTTTAACTCCCTAGCCTATCCTTGGAAAAATCAATTCTGTCTCAGTTTTTGCCTGTTTCTCTTATAGCTTGTAAGTAAAATGAACTCCTTAACATGTTCATTTTTGTAATCTATATAAATATTTTGGGTTTTTTTCCCTTAAATTTTAATAGAGTCCTGGCAGTTTCCACACAAGAATCCCACAGGAATTAATTCTCACTGTGGATGTTCAGTCCCAAGCCTCACTGAAGTACCCATGATCTCTGAAAGGAAAGGCAGACCAGGGTTATGAGAGGTGCAAGAGGACTGTAGATGGGCAAACCAAGATTCTTGACCAAAGAATCTTTGAATGGAGAATAGTGAAAGATGGGATACGATTCAAGAAGAAAATGAAGAAATGGATCAGTAACAAATTATCTGTGATGAAAGAATCCATAAGAATTTTGGACTATGTGAAAGAGTCCACCAGGATATTTATGGCACCCTATATTCAGAATCCTTTGGTGTGGAAAAAAGTGGGTAGAGAATAGAGAATTAATTACAGAATCTCATACATTGTTCAAGATTTTTGGATCAAACACCCATGCCTTCTAGGCTCCAAGTTAGAAATCTTGGAACTATTTAGCAAGATGCCCTTCCCTATTAGGCATTTTGC